AATAGAATAGAATAGAATAGAATAGAATAGAATAGAATAGAATAGAATAGAATAGAATAGAATAGAATAGAATGAAAAATCATGTGTTCTTCTGTCTGTTTTTACTAATCCCTCTCTCACTGTCTGGACAGGGCCAGGAGAGAGGCAAAAGGATCAAGGAAGGGTTAATACAGGTGGGAATTGGGGGCTGAAGTACAACTTCCAACAGTCTTAGGCTATGTTGGCAGAGGCTGCTGGGAGTTGTAGTTTAATATCCTCTGGAGGCCCCAAATGCTTTCTCCCACAAAAAGTATGCAGTCCAATATAGAAATGTTCATTAAACGACTGAAAAAAGGTTTCATAGGCAATTGGTTAATTCAAGTGATACATCACATTTTATTCTGAGCAATGTTAGACTGTAGAAAGAACATTTTTCTACAGGTAGTCTCCAGTTTAAGAACGAGTTCTGTTCCCCAGGTCTGTCCTTAAGTCGAATTAGTATGTAAGCCAGAACAGTATTATTGTATAATACTGTATAAGTAGAATTCTGTAATGAACTCCAGCCATTGTGTATTTAACCTGAATCACTGTGTATTTAACTTGAATTTTGCTACAATAGGCTCTGTTCTTAACCATGGGTTGTCTGTAACCTGGGTGTTCTTAACCTGAGGACTATCTGTATTTTGCTCAAAACTGGATTACATGCATTGACTGCCAAAAAAATAAGTCATGTACAGGTGCTTAATACAAAATACAATGTATGTTTACAACATAGATAGCTTTTTTCCATCTTTTACAGGTAGGTTGCAAACATTCTCAAGTTTTAAAGCTTACGTTTTGTTCATATAAACAGAAACAAAGAAAACGAATATACAGCTTTGGTTGAAGTTTAGCTTCAAAAGAAATCAACCGCATCAGATCAAGCTTAATACCCAAACAGAGAGCTGTTCCGCTTTACACATACGGACGCAGCATAACTTGTGTGTCCCTTCTCTGCAAAGGAATCTGTGGAAAGATTTAGAAAGGAGAAAGCAATATGTTGCTGAGACAATATTATCCAGGCCAAATAGGACAGCGATCTCTGTCCTACCTAAACAAATGAAATAATGCTATTTTATTAATGTTAGATTATGATTAAAATTTAAAATGTGTTTGCAGTTAAAATTAGTGTTATTATAACGAATAAGAACACGTGTTTTTGGTCATCATAAAAAATAGGATTGCAAAATCAAGCCCACGCACATCCTAAAAGAAAAGTGGCTATTTCTTGCATCACAGTGCAGTACAAGAACTGGGATTTATCATTAATAAACAGTAAGAGGCCCAGTTGTGACTTTTCAACAATTCCTCGGGCCTGAAAAAAGGAGATGGATTTGCAGTCCTCAGACGTAAAGAGCATTTTCTGTGGTTGCCCGCAGAGGAAGTTTCTGTTAAAGTGATCCAGGAAGATTTTATTGCTGGCTTGTTTACTGACAACTTTAAGAGGGTGCTAATCGCTTTAAAGGTTGTTTATTTTTGCAATTTGGAAAGGAGGAAAGTCTGCCACCTGGTGGCCATTCCAGGATCTGTTCTGCCACTTATTAAGAGTTGAGCTCACAACTCCTAGTAACTTTATGTCCATCTACAGGTAGTCCTCGTTTAGTGACTGCCTCATTTAGCAGTTACGACGGTGATGAAAAAGTAACTTTGCAACCAATCCTCACCTTTATGACCTTCGCAGGTCTGTAAAACCGTGTTTCTCAAAATCAGCAACTTTAAGACGTATGGACTTCAACTCCCAGAATTCATGGCTGGCTTCTGGGAGTTTGAAGTCCATACATCTTAAAGTTGCTGAGACTGAGAAACACTGCTATAAAGCAAAGAAAAGCTGGAGTAAGACTGTAAGCACAGTTGTGGTTTCACTTAGCGATCACTTCGCTTTACAATCAAGTTGCTGGTCCCAATGGTGGTCGCTAAACAAGGACTACCTGTTTTCTCCTGGGCAATGAGAAAAAGTAGGTGCTGCTGTGGTCTTCTTCCAAGCCGGAACATCTAGGAGACAGGGGTCAAAAAATTCAAGATTGCAGCATTGGCTGGGCCATCAAGGTCCTGTCTTTTTTAAATGTACATCGTGCACATGTTTACAAAAGAGACAAGATTTCAATTATATGGTTGTTGCTGCCATCTTGACTTTTTGGACACGCTCATGAATGACTCTGCTTCCACAATTTTTTTTTACTTTCCAGTCTAGCCTGTAGTTGTGAACATTCCAAGCATGAACTTTATCCAGCCCAGCTGAACCTTTCAAGATCAATCCAATTTGGCTTGACACCCCTCCTGTCTGGTTTCTTGCTGTGAAATATAATTATATAAGAGTTTAAGAGAATGATTCCTTTTGGGAAAGGGAACTCAATGGCTTAGATCAGCTGGGGATCCCCAAAATCTGCCCTGTTACCCCAAAGAGTGTCTGGCCCAGAATCATATGAATTTCCATGGTCGTGGAAGGGCTGGAAGCTGGATCTCTCTGGTCTTAGTCCAACATCTGAACCACTAAACCACACAAGAAGAAGTTCCTGGAGTTCTTGGAATGCTAACCTCTTCTGAAGGACATGATTTTCATCCCTCTCATGGCTTACAGTCCATTCTTCAGATATTTGGCTGTCTAGGCAAAATCAAGTCTTACCCTTCCAGGATCCCATCAACCTACCTTTCAAAAGGGAAAGAACTGCTTCCAATTTAGCATTCAGGAAAGAATGATGAGAACATGCCTATCGAAAAAGAAGAAATGTCACTTCCTATTTCACATGTCCTTATTCCCCCCTTGCTTCAAGTTGCTGAAGATCATTTTAGCCTCAGAAAAAGCTGAGGATGAGTGAGTGTTGTTTCTAAAAGAATGCAAAAGAAGGATGAACAAACTTGACTCCTCAAATCCCTCCTCTGATGCTCCCCAAGAAGAAATACTTGAGAACTCTGGTTACCTCCATGGTTATCTTGAAGTTTCTTTGTTTTCAAGGAAGAGCGTTATGTGCAGAGTGGAGGGATTACTATTTCAAGCAATCCTTCTCCCACCAAAAATTATTAGAAAAATTACACCCCCCCCCCAAAGTTCTTTAAACTACATATTCTTTGGGCCAAGGCAAAATTGGGATCTTATTTAGAAAGCCTACAGATGGACAAGTCACCCAGGGAAATTGGCCACCCATTAGATTGACTCAGAATATAGACCAATTATTTCCCCAAATTTGAAAAACATCTTGGATCATTTCTGAGTCAACTGAGATCTAACTCCCCCCCTGCATTCCCACGCCATGCATTTGACAATCAAGAGTTGCAAGAAGCCTGGGATAGTTTTGTGGGAAAGCAAGGGAAGGAGGGAAGGAAGGAGGGAAGAAAGGAAGGAAGGAAGGAAGGAAGGAAGGA